GGGGTTTCACTATGTTAGCCAGGATGGTCTCTATCTCCTGACCTCATGATCCGCCTGCCTCGGCCTCCCAGAATGCTGAGATTACAGGCATGAGCCACCATGCCTGGCCGAGTTTATGAATTCTTATACCAGAATGGCTCATCACCAATCCTTGGGCTTTTTGCCATGGAAAAGTTAACTATGTACTCAAACTTGGTTCACTTTCTCCAAGCTATTGACAGGAAATGTTCTGTCTTATTTGAAAAATTGATATCCGGGAACAGTGACTCACACCTGTAATCCCAGCATTTTGGTGAGGCTGAGGCAGGCAGATCACTTGAGCTCAGGGGTTTGAGACCAGCCTGGCCAACATGGTGAATCCCATCTCTACAAAAAAATACAAAAAAATTGGTCAGTGTGGTGTGCACCTGTAGTCTCAGTTAATGGGGAGGCTGAGGTGGGAGAATCACTTGAGCCCAGGAGGTAGAGTCTGCAGTGAGCTATGATCTGCACTCCAGCGTGGGCAACAGTGAGACCCTGTGTCAAAAAAAGCAAAGAAAGATTGAGTCATTATTACCAGAAACTTGTGTAGTATCAGGATTCTCCAGAGAAACAGAAGCAACAGGATGTAGAGGGAGAAAGAGAGAGGTTTAAGGAATTGGTTTACATGAATTATAGAGGATGGCAAATCTAAAATCAGCAAGGTGGGCCATTAGTCTGGATCCTCAGGGAAGAGCTGGTGTTGCAGCTCAAGTCTGAAGGCAGAATTCCTTCTTGCTTGGGTGGGAGTGGGGGGATCTACTCTTTTGTTCTATTCAGGCCTTCAACTGATTGAACGTGAATTGCCACTCACATTATGGAGGGCAATCAAGGTCCACTGATTAGAATGTTAATCTCATCCAAAAAAACACCCTCATAGGAACATCCAATATAATGTTAAACCAAACGTCTGGACATCATGGCTCAGCCAATTGATGCATAAAATTAACTCTCACACCTTATCATTGTCTCATCCTTTTAAAGGAGGCTATGGGATATAGCTTACTTGTGAAATAGTTATCTCACCTATGGTCTGTCTCAGTTCCACCTCTGTCTAGTATTCAGACACTGAGGTTACAGGTACATCTAGAACAGGTTGAACAGTGTTCCGTGTCCCACTACTCGCGCCCACTACATGGGCCCATGGCTCTGGTTCTGCCTCTGGATAAATAGCAGATAGTTTTACCCTTGGTTGTTTCATTCATTTGTTCAAAACCATTTATGAATATGTGTAGAACACCAGGGTAGGTGCTTCAGTGGATACATAGTGAGTGACTAGTAGCTATCATCAAGTGTTCCCTAATCTCACAGAACTTACAGTCAGCCATAATAGGTTAGTTAGGGCTCTGTTTGTTGTTGTTATTGTTGTTGTTGTTGTTGTTGTTGAGATGGAGTCTCGCTCTGTTGCCCAGGCTGGAGTGCAGTGGTGCGATCTCGGCTCACTGCAACCTCCACCTCCTAGGTTCAAGCAATTTTCCTGCC